GAACCAAACCTGAGCCACTGCAGCGGTGAGAGCACCAAACTTTAACCACTAGGCCATCAGGGCTGGCTGGAGAATTTGAAACCAAAACGAGAGCTTAGGAAACTCTTTCAAAGAGCCCCGCTGTAAAAGGAAGGAGGAAAAACGGACAGTAGCTAGAAGGGGAAGCAGGATTAAGAAAGAGACATTTTTAAGATGAGAGAAATACCAGCATACTTTATGTGGATGAGAACAATCCACAGAGAAAGAGAAAAAATAAAGATGGCAAGGACTACAGGAATTGTTTCTTGGAGAAGAGCAGGGAAGATGCAATCTAGTGCACACATGGAGAGGTTGCTCGGAACACAGATGGTTCATCCATAGTAACAGAAGTGAAGACGGAGTATTCGGGCACAGATGCATGTAGGTGGGTTGATGTTGTCGTGGGAGCTTTCGGAAATTCTTTTTTGATTGCTTCTATTTTCTCAGAGAAATAGGAAGCAGTGTCATCGGCTAAGAGTAAGGATGGGGGAGGAAGTGTGGAAGGTTTGAAGAGACAAGGTATGAAATAGTTGTCCCAGAAATGGAGAGGGATTGGAGTCAGAAAATGCCTTCAGAGTGCCAGGGAGCATTAGGGACCCACTTGGGTTAGTCATCGTGTCTGGGGGTGTGTTTTTCTCCAGCCACAGTCAGCTGCATGTGCGTGGGCAGGAACTAGGCAGAAAGTTGGCTATACCCAGGGCTGTATTTTAACCAGGAGAGTAGGACAAAGTGAGACCTGGGCAAGGTGATTAAAATGAATACAAGGGGTGACTTTTAATGACTGAGCATTGAATTTAAACAGAGTATACAGGAAAGTGATGACGTGAAGATGATGTGAGACAGGAAAAAGGCAATCAGTAGGATCAATGAATTATAGGGCACAGAGGGGATGAAGACATGGAATTGGGACAAGCTTGGTTGGACAGTGAGATGCTTGAGAAAGAGATCACGTGGGGGTTTCAGTTACTGGGGATGGCAAGTTCTAGACTATGTCTATGCAGTGAGAGACTCGGGTAGAGTGTAGGACAGGATCACTGGGACAAAGAAGGTCAAGAAACTGAGAGGCCAGGATATCGGAAGGACCATCTATGGGTTACTGAAGTTATTAAGAATTGTGGCATGCATTGTCATCCAGGAAATAAAATCCTCAAGAAAGGAGGGAAGTGATCTAGGTAGGGTTCGTAACCACAGTAAGGATGGAAGAGCCAGGATGGTGGAAGAGTCGGATGGTTATTCTCATGATTCCTTAAAACTGAAAGCCTTACTTTGCCAAAGCAATAGTACTAATAAAAACCAGTGAGTTTAATCATTCTATGTGTATTATATGCAACATCTTTGTGGGCACATTTTAAGCTTAGTGCTTAAAACAACCTGGATTATCAGCTATGTGACCTTGGGCGAGGCACTTGACCTCTCTCTGCCTAAAGTTAACTCATCTGAAAAATGAGGATAATAATACTTATCTCATAGCCTGCATGTCAAGGGCTTAGCAAAATTAAGCACTCAACACTAAAACATGGCTAACTACTCCATTATAATTAGCCATGGCCATTGTTGATATCTTTCTAGATAACTGAGTATGAGGGTATCTGGAAAATAGAAAAGGTAATAGAGGTGGAATGTGCTTTTCAGAAGAAATATCTTCATCCCTACAACATGCAAAGTAACTAAAAAAATAAAAAACTTTGGCAGAACCATTCATAAAGTGAACTTCTCGAAAAACGTATTTTAAAAATTATCTGAATCTGGGGCCGGTCCGGTGGCACAGTCGTTAACTTTGTGCTCTCCGCTTCAGCAGCCCAGGGTTTGCAGTTTTGGATCCCAGGTGTGGACCTAGCACCACTCGTCAAGCCACATTTTGGTGGCATCCCACATAAAGTGGAGGAAGACTGGCACAGATATTAGCTCAGCAACAATCTTCCTCGAGCAAAAAGAGGAAGATTGGCAACAGATGTTAGCTCAGGGCCAATCCTCCTCCTCAAAAAGAAAATTATGTGAATCCAATTTTCAAATACTGATTATGTATTAAGTAACGCATGACTATCATATGGTATATTAAAAAAAAAAGATGTGAAGAATGCAGAAAACCAAGATTACCAGATCTTGATAGCATGTATAAGTTTCCATGGCAAGAGACATAATTACTTTTAGACTGGGATAGGGCGATAATATTCTCAAACATTCTTGCTTATGCATTGATGAGTCCTATATTGTGCTTTTTCAATTTATTTCATTTCCAAGTGAGCTCAATATACCAGAGCAGGGTAATGATACCAAATTGATGGGCTGAGTTTTTTGCTATTGAGGAAACCTAAAATTTTAGTTCTCTTAACCATGATTCAAATTTCTCACGTCATAAAAGCTTAGCTTATTATTTGTTATTAGTTTCCTGGCATCAATTCTGTCTCGTAGTGACTCTGTAGATAGCAGAGCAGAGCCCTGCTCGGTCTTTTTGCCCCATCCTCTCACTTCCGGAGTTCTATCAGACAATACTTCGCTGCTATTCACAGAGTTTTCAAGAACAATGTTTTTGGAAGTGGGTGTCCAGGTCCCTTTTCCTAGTCTGTCTTAGTCTGGAAGCTCTGCCGAAACCTGTCTACCATGGGCGACCCTGCTTGTATGTGAAATCCTGGTGGCATAGCTTTCAGCATCACAGCAACACACAGCTGCCACAGTATAACAACAACAGTCGGCCTGTGTGGTTCCCTTACTGGGAAATGAAGCCCGGGCTACAGTGCTGAGAGCATTGAATCTTAATCACTAGACCACCAGGACTGGCTTAGCTTATTATAGGCACTTAATCAATACATTTTGAATGAATGAGAAGTAATCTGATCATTGAGTTACATTCTTTTATGGCCCCACTGCTTTAATTACCTGTGCCCAGGCCTAGTACAAGTTCTTACCTTGGTAAAAAGGTCACTCCGGAGATTTGCCTTGGACCTGGTCTTAGCCCCCACCTGCCTCTCCCTCCTTGCTGTTGTCTCTTTATTATATTCCTCAACTTTCTCTCTAGTCTAGTCCATTCTGGTTTTCAGTCTCAGATAACCATCTTCTCCCACTCGTGTCCTCTCCCTGCTCCACTCCATTTCTGGTGTTTGTGGTTGTTTCCTACACTTTGGCAGAGATGCTTCTGTCTACACACCTGGCGGTTGGCACAGGGTCTCTCTCTCAAGGGATCAAGGCCCTTCTGGGCCTTGATAATCACATGCTGTTTCTCAAACACAATTGCCTAACTGACCGTGCAATGCAGTAAAGCTTAAAAAAGTGACAAATGACTAAGAGGTTGTCAAGGCCTAATCCTATTGCTTTCTCTAGATTTGGAAGCACCTTTACCAGTTTTCCTGGTGCCAAAAACTGGCACATACTAGGCCCTCTGTTCATATTTGCTGAATTAACACATCTAACCCACAATCAATATACATTCTACATTTGATTTTAAACTTAAGGCGACTTCTTTTGTATGAAATATTCATACCAGTTAAAATTGTTTCAACTGTTATGTTTTACATGAAGAAAAATTATTTTATGGTATTTGTGTTGGATGCTAATTTGTTAAACTGGTGTTATTTGTGTACCTTTGTTTTAGCATTTTTCTGTATTTTTAATATACTGGGAATCTCAAAATGGATATGGCCCAGTCTTTTCTGTGCCTCTGAGAAGCCTTAACCTAGTTCAACTCCAGAAAAATTCCTATGACTTGATCTCTTATGAGCTTGAACTCTGGCTCCCTTACAACTTCCCCCATCTTCACTGAACTAAAAGGATAGCCAAGCTGGCCCAGATTTTATGTGTGTGTGTCTCCACAGATGGAGCGGATTCCAAAGCCACGCCCTCATCTGAGAGGCAGATTCTAGGGAGTTCTGTGTGTGTTTTATGTGTGTTGATGGTGGTAGGGAGGGGAGAGGCTAACACATAATCAGCAAAACTAAAAGATCTAAAGTTACTGATCATAACTGAGGAAGGGCCAAGAATAAATGGAGGAGGGACTCTGATTGATTGTCTAGGATCACAAAGTCTTGTTGCATCCGTCCCGTTTGATGAGCTGGTCTGGGGTTGTATCAGTTGAGCTGAAAGGGCCAGGAGCTGAAATGACATGAACTGGAACCTCTATAAGTCTATATCTCTAGTTCCAAAACTAAGGTCCCAGGGGGGCATGAAACAAAATCTGTCATGAATTTGCCTTATAATCTAGTCTAGAATATACAACACTCTGTTTTCTTGCAGAAGTAGTTTAAAAAACTCAATAATTTGGCAGAAAATACAGATGAGCTATAAACTGCCCATATGTGGTCAGAAGTAGCCATCTCTGCTTGCCAGTTTGTTTCCCACATATGCAATGAACCCCACCGTGACACAGCAAACGGGGTACACAAATTCAATCGCACAATACACGATTGCTTTACTGTGATGTTAATGAAACAGCATTTTTAATTAGGTCTGTACTATCACAAAACACAAAGAGGAAGTAAATTAGAACTTATACTATGCACAACTGACCGTGCAGTAAGTTTTAAAAAGTCACAAATGACTAATCTCACCCCTAATACCACCACTTCCTAAAACCATGCCTCCTCCAGTCCCATAGCACTAGGACATAAGATCTTGGCCCCTTGGCCCGCCTTCCTTTGAGAATGAAGGCAAGGATGAGGTCTGGGGCCAACGACTATTCCCATTACGTAAACATATATTGCGTGTAGGCTTATCTTTTGAAAAACAACCACTAGCAGCAGAAATAACAAAGATAACAGCAGATGAAAAAATATCACAGAGCTATTGGAAAATACCTCAGGAAGTAAATCTCCTGGGACCATCGTTAACAAGTATGGGAGCGGGAAGTACAAATTTTAGAACTTCTAAGAAGGTGTGACATCTCTGAATCTGTGTGGATGGAGGCCTGGGAGTCCCCTATCTAAATAGGCCGCATCTCCAGACCACATGAGGACTGTTATGCTGGGAGGTTTCCTAGTCAGAATTCTTACCTTGTGTTGCTCACGTTTGCGTTGTATTGTGTTGGCCGTTTCCTCATGGACCTGCTGAATGGTTATCTCCTCTCTCAGAGCCAGCTCTGCTCTGTATAACCAGGCTCCTATGGTACCCAGAGGTGCAGGAAGAGATTTATCAAGCTGAATATGCCAATCAAAGAGCTGGAATACAAAAGTAGGAAAGCAAAATATCTCTAATACAGAAGACAGTTCTTAAAATTTCCCCAAACGATTTGAAAGCCTACATAAGTCTTTAAGTTAATGATTTCAGGCTAATTTAATAAATATCAAGTAAGCAAATATCTATGTTCTGACTTAGAGGTTTTGGGGGTGGGGAGGAAATTATAGTTACAAGCAAATTTTGATGAAATAAAACATATCTTAGACATAGAAGGATATTATTGGAAACTTAAACAATTGTCTTCTTATGGGAATATTATAAAGAATTCGGTAATTTTAGGTGTGGCTTTTTTTTGCTCAAAGGGAAAGGACTGGGCATGTTGACATGCTCCAGGATGCAGCAGTTATATACCAGCTAATGTGTATGCTTTAAAACCTCCCACACGATGACAACAGGTCCAGAAAAATTAGGGTCATCTAGACATTTCTGGAGGAAGACGACTACTCAGGATTCTTTCTGTAATAATATGGTTCTCTAACTATCTTTCTGTTTCTCCCACTTTACCCAATTCTCAAGCACTATTTCCTTGCTTATTGGAACATCAGGTGGGATGGGTTGAGGTGCTTGGAAACTAACCTATTCTTTAACAGAGTTTACGGGGAAAAACAGATTATCAAAATGATGAAAATGGGGTAAGTACAAGGCAAATATTCCCATTAGTGAAAGAAATTTCAGAGATTTTGAAAGCTTGGTCTTTAAGTTTGCAAAATATTAATATGCATGTTACCAAGCAGTTTCCCGTCAGGTTCCTGAAATACCAGATAAGAAGATGTGCTTAAAGAATATAAAAATGAATGTGGGTACAGGAAAATTATTAACTGTTGATGAAACCTAGTTATGAAATACAGAAAAGTTCTGGGGCTCCATTTTTGGGAGAGTCACTTCTTCCAAACAAGCCAGAATTAAGTTGTATAAAGTGAGACCCAGATGGTCTTTCAGGATTTCAATGTATCATCTGGTCAAGGGTGATATTACGTGCAGGATAAGCAAATCAGGAAAAGAGTTGTTAATCAAGCACTTCTACCAACTTAAAGGAAAACTCGACAAGAGGGCAAAGATTCTCCCAGATGTAAGCCTTTCCCACCTCAGACAGATGCAGGAGGACCCTCTACAACATCACTGTGTAGAAAAAGATGATGGAAAATATTCTTGACTAAATTACGTGAGCCCTAGTGAAATTCATCACGGGAGAACTTACCCTGGAGGACACTCTGTCCCAGGACTGTTTTACCAACGCTTGGTCAAGTGACAATTTACCATCTCTATGTAATGGTTGTATTAAATGTTCAATCTGTTTCCTTTTTATTTCATATTGAACTCTGAAGTGCTTAAATGACTAAAAGGAAAATCAGCAACAACATGGCCATGAGTCAAAAAAAGCAAAAGCAAAGGAAACCACATTTCCTAAATGACAATTTTTTATATTTGGATAGCATTCAATATATGTTGTTGATAATAGTAATGACAGTCATGACACTAATAGCAGATACCATTCATGAAGCCCTGACAACGAGCTTGGCCCCTTGCTAAGTCCTTTCTACACATGATCTCCTCTGGCTCTCTCTGTAACACTACCACGTAGACACACACTATTATTATTACCATAGGAAGCCCAGAGGACAAGTAGGAGAGGCAGGGCTAAGGCCTAGGATTTCTCATTTCCAGTTAAATAATCTATGTGCCAGTCCATGTTCATCAGGAAATAACAGTAAACAGGAATATAAATCTACGCTAATAATCAAAATGGTTGCTTTACCTCAAAGTACCAAACAATTTATAAATAGAAATGGCATATTTCAAAATAATGCTGAATTAAAGATATCTAAATTTGCGTTTAAGTCTGTATAGAGAGGTTTACTTAAGGGATCTCATTTACATAATAGTCCTTTGCTTTAATTTTATGGCATTAAAATATTAAGTAAGACATAATTTCTTTTGTCACAGTATGGTTAGCATAAATTTGTAACAGGTAGACTTAACTGTAAGTCTAAAACGAACCTAAGAAAGTACTTATTTTAACTAAAGTTTTACATTTTATATTAAATTAACATCCTCAGTTGTGACTCCAAGTCCAAAGTGAATTGAAAATCCCAATAAAATGGGGAGTTATATTAAAGAACATGAGAATGGCTGTACAGAATCTGACAGATAACACTAAAGGAATTTCTAAGTCATAGAATAAATAAACACGTAAATTCACATGAAGAACACTGGGGGGAGATGGTGAATAAATAAATATTTTACTCCAGTTACCTTCCATTCCCTCTAACTTAATGTAATTAAAAAATACCAAGACACAAAATCAATCTTCAGTTTTATCCCACAGAATTCTATGCATAGAAAAACTGGAAAACACAGTATCAATTGATAAGTAGAAATTGAGAGAAAATGCTGATGACATAACAAACCTACGGACAAAAGAAAACGCCCCCTCGATTCAGATTTCAGATGGTCTCTAACCCTATTTTAAGAGTAGTGATCACCTTTGGCCTGAAAAGAGTGTTTCTGTTTTGTACTTTTCTAGTCTTCGGTTCTCTCTTATAAAATAACATCTATACTATAAAGGTAACTTGATAGCTTGCAATGTATTTTTTTACAATTTATGCTAAAACTAAAACTCACTAATGGGCCAGATAAGTATATTCACTCTGTTCTTGAATTTCTATTCTCAATTTACTGATTTAAAATTTTTCTAATGGAGCTCATTCTAGAAAGTTGCATTTTGGGGAAAGAGGATTACACTGAGTTTCAAAGCAAAAAGTACATACATATAAGCACATATTGATTGCTTTGCCAAGTTCATCAAATATAATATTGATGGCCTCATCCATCTAAATTGAGGCACATTTTATTGATATGATTATATAAAATCACACACTAATGCAATAGTTGTCTTCTATTGTTTGCTGTGTTGAATCTCTCACATCATTGTACTCTTTTTTTTTGTAGCAAAAAGAGTGAAATATAATGTAGACTAGAATATATTATCATTTTGCCACTAAAATGTAATGCGTCTTTAAATGGGGGGAAAATGTGACCGCTGCACAGAATAAATCACAATTTAATGGGAAAATCTATTATAAGACTTTGTCTCTTGGAAGTGCAAATTGGACGCAGAAATTCAATTAATGAAAGTGTAATGACACTGGGGGAACAATAACAACAACATCCTTGGCCTCAACCTGAGCGCAATAGTGTTGAACTAGGCAGGTCACAGGAAAAAGTGATCCCATTAACGGGCCCACTCCAAATATTCATGTTGCGATCCTTCAGTAAATTGGGCTTATTCTACAGTAATTTTCAATTTGGCATTGAAGTCATTTTTTGGTGGAATTTTTTGTTATGTGGCATCTACAAGATCATAAGTCTACAAAAACAATGACTAGATGTTTTTTTGTTCTGGGTCATCAACAAGACTCTGAGTTCTGGAAAAGCCATGAAGCTTCAGAGCTTAATATACAGTATGGATACACACAATTTAAAACTATTGATTCCACTTCTGGGTATATACCCAAGGACATGAAAACAGAATATTGAAGAAATGTAAGCACTGCCATGTTTATTGCAGCATCATTCACAATAGCCAAGATATGGGAACAATCTAAGTGCTCATTAACGGATGAGTGGATAAAGAAGATGTGGTATATATATATTACATATATATTAGAATATTATTCAGCCATGAGAAAGAAGGACATCCTGCCATTTGTGACAACACGGATGAACCTTGAGGACATTATGCTAAACGAGATGTCAGACAAAGAAAGACAAATATTGTGTGATAGCACCTATATGTGGAATCTAAAAAACCAAACTAATAAAATCAGAGAGTAAAATGGTGATTACCAGGTGATAGGGAGTGGGGGATAGGACAGACGCTGTTTAAGGGGACAAACTTGCAATGAGTAATAAATAAGCCTTAGAGATTTAATGCACAGTATTGTGAATATAGACAACAATATTGTATTATAAACATCAAACTTGCTAAAAGACTAGAACTTAATTATTCCAATCAGTAAAAATAAATGATAATCATAAAACATAACAAAGGTACTAATTATCACATGGCAATCATATTACAGTATATAAATGTATCAAATTTGAAAAATAAAACTACCTATTTACATAGAAATACAATTAAGTTACATGCAGAATTAAGATAATATATATTATTTCCTTAAAGACCTTTCTAATTAATTTCATTTGAAAGATTAAACGTAGGCTAAATGACGTATATGAATCTTATTTTGAAAACTGAAATCTCTATTCCATACATTACCTGATATTTATCCTGCAAATTTGATTCTGTCATCTGTGCCCTTGTCAAATCTCTTTCAAATTGTTCTATCCAAACTTTTGTTTCCTTCAAAATTAGCCTGTCATCTCTCTAGAAAGCAGCAAACATTAAAATTGTATTAGTAACTGTGTGTTTATTTAATTTCTAATTAATACCTGATTGATCGTCGAATAGACTTCATATTTAATAAATTTCAATTGTCCCTGAAAAAATTTCCCTCCCCTTGCCATTATCCCTTTTGGAGAGAAAGAAGCAAAAGTTAATTTTAGGAAAATATCTTAATTATCTTGCTGAATACTGAAATTACCTACCTCTACTTTTTTCTCAAGAAATGTTAGTTTAATTAAGAAAAGAAAATGTGCTCAAGAATGATGTAAGTGCAAAAATCTCAGAAAAAGCAATTGAATGGGAGTAGAAACAGGCCTTCAGTAGCTTCTTAATCCAAGGCCATTGGTAACTCAGAAGGCTATTCTGGATAAGATTACTTTTGACTGAATTCAAGGAGTTACCATCACAGTAACATTGGGCTATGTGTGTACATAATCTTTTAAAAAGACCAGTCAGTATTACAACATAAGATCCACATGAACTGGAAACATTCATCTTGTTCAAGATGGTATTGCGAGACCCTGGCAAAATACCACCTGTAAGATATTAGCCAAATTATCTGCTGAATGAATGTCTCCAGGCTGTCTGTCACCTACAACTCAAAAATGAAAAAAAATTGGAGATTTACATATCTGTTTCCACAAATAATAACAAGAACCATTCTAGCATTGATTTAGTGAAAATATCCTAATTTTTCATCAAGATTTCTTATCTGGTAAGAATGTCAAAGTAATGATAAACATATTTCACATGATTTTTTGGCTTTTACAAATAGCTTTCAACCACCGCATCTCACTTGATGCCCACAACGCTGTGACACAGATAAAACAACTGTCTGTTGACACGTGAAGGGGCGGAGGAGAAAGGGTGCTGGCTATGGAGGCAGGTAAAGAGGGTTCCAGACTCTGATTCTGGCACGTATTAGTTCTGTGACTTTGGGCATTGCAGCCTCTCTACTGTTGTACCATCATCTGAGCAGTCATCACACACCCTTTTCCTGGTTTGGGGGAGAATTAGAGATAATCTGTGTAACACATCTAGTACAGAGATTGGCACAGGATTCACACCCTCTCCCACTTTCTGGTCTTGCAAAGGCAACCCTCTTCTGCCTGGAACCTCTTCCCCTGGATAATGCCTTCTTCAGAGCTCAGCTGAGACACAATCTTCTCTAGAAACCTTTTGTGACCTAGAAGTCTGGGTTAGGGGTCTCTCTTCCATACCAGTGGTTCTCATAATTCAGTGTGCACCAGAATCACCTAGAAGTCTTGTGAAAACACAGATTGCTGGGTGCCATCCTCAGGCTTTCTGGCCCTGTGGATCTGGGGTAACGGCTGAGAATTTGTATTTCTAACAATTTTCCAGGTGAATCTGCTGCTGCTGGTCTATGGATAGCATTTTGAGAACACTGCTCTATGATCCTATAACAACCTGAGCTCAAATATCCAGCCAAAATGCACTAGATTGCATTCTCCGCTTAATTGTCTCTTTTCTCCTCCATTACAAATTCTTTACGTATCTTTTTCTCCAGCCTAACACAGTGTCTGGCACCGAGCATCACTCAATACGTAATTGTGGAATAAATGATTGATTGGTAACAGTTAATTAAAGAAAGGAATGGAACAGGAGCCCAAGACTCAAAGCTTCTGCTCATCCCATGATGTTCTCTTCTGAATGAACATGTGAATGTGATCAAGGCATATGTTTTATTACTGATTGACTTTCACACCCATAAAAGCACTAATGACGCATTCTTATGAGCTCAGAGGAACAAAAAGCTCACAGTCTACCACCAAGGTACCAGAGGTCAATGTGACCACTACATGACCTCAGTGAGCATGGGACATCCCTGTGAACCTCCAAGGACAGGCATGTCATTACCTGTTTCTCGTCAACTGAAATTATTTCACAAAGTCATCTGAGAGAAAACAATTATGTTCTTACAACAACTTTATGAGAGTCCATCTAGTAAATGCCTTTTTCTAGTGGTGGGAAACTGTTAAGAAAACTTCAATAAGGTAAGAAAGATGTAGCTATTTATACACTCAACATTCTCCTTTTTAAAAGGAAAATGAAGTACAAAACAATATTTAGATCCCCAGGACCCGTTTAGTTTAGTGGCTTTACTTCAGTTGGTCACCTTCACGTGCATTCACAAATTGGGTCTCTACTTGCCTTAGAGGACCACCTAAACTCATTCTCACTATTCTTTCTCCTTTCTCTTTCTCTCTCTTTCCCTCACTTTCTCTCTCTCTGTCACTCAAATATGCGCCCGGACTCATTTATATGTTTTGTAGCATGTTTATATATACATAAACTCATGCTTCATGGAACATGAAATAAAAATTAATTTAACATTTGACATAAAACTGGTTACTTCTAACTTTTTATTCCAACGTTGGCATAAAGTCTACTGTGTTGATAGATCCTTAACCTCAAGCCTAGATGAAATATAAGAAAATATGGAGAAACTGAAGTACGAAATAATTTGAAGATGGGAAAGAATTCATAATCATTAATTCCACATATATTTTTTGAGCACTTAACTGCGTCATGAACTTCGCTAAACCACGTGAGACAACATTGAGCAAAAGAGATGCGATGAAACTCAAGGTTACAAGCTAACTGAATACTTACCTTTTTCCGTTAATTACTTCCTGCTTAATATTTTAAAATATAAAAACAAAACTTTAACTTTATTTTTATTACTCATTCACATATAAAGAAATCAAACATTGTTATTGTAAATTCTTCCTTTCATTAGTGCTGTTAAGTGTTACTAAAAAGAAATTAATTGATGCTAACTTACAATTAAAGATTAGTGGGAAAGTCCATGAGTGTCTGAGACTGTAACTAACATTTAATAAGACATGTTATTTGTTCTATTAGAAAGGAAAAGGAAATAACAGAATTAAGGTACTAAAAGAAAATTTCTATAGAGACAACACATGCAAAGGAATAGCTAACAAACTGTGGAATGCAGGATGTTTGAAAGAGGTCACTCATTCAAGATTACTTAAATCTTACCTTAAAATTTTGGATAGAATTTGCAAAAGATGGGAAACCTGGAATTATTTCCTAACAATACGGAAAGATAATATATACAAAGAGAATATAAATTAGGGACAAATTTATATAGGAAACAAGAAAAAAACAATAGAGAGGCATCTGTCTATAGATAAACGGACAGTAATTTTAAGGGTATATGTTTGCATAACTTTTGAAAGTATCAAAATGTTTGAATCCAATAAGGAAACATAGTATTCTGGCATCTGACATTTTTGTTTTAATTTTTGGCAATATTTATGTTTTATAAACATGTCTTGGAATACTAAACACTTTAAAAGGAGAATGACGTAAAGAAGAGGTATATGGATTCACGTTTTTTCTCTATAAATACACTCATAATGTGCATCTCTGTATCTCTATGATATTTAAGACCATGCTGTGCTTCTAAAAGCAGTCAAGAATATTTGTTGAAATGTGAGAAAGAATGAGTGAATAAATAACCGAAAGTTTAATAGGGGAGAGAGATGAGCCAATAGGCCTATTTTATTTATTTATGATTGAATGCTAATTATCCAAGGAATACTTTTAGGGAAAAGGTTTCTTCATCAGTTCTATTGGCTGAAGCAAGAAAGGCACAGCAATATCTATTTCTAGTAAGAAAGTTAGATTTAAAATGGTATTTATAAAATATCCAATTTAAGTCAACTCAAAAAGGGGACATAGAAATCAAATACACCAAAAAATAGAAGCCTGGTAGATATGTTGATGCCAAGATTTTTAAAAATGAATTAAAAGTACTATCTACTAAGACCTGAGTAGACAAATGCTGAATATTTTGAGGTGATGGCATCAACAGTCCTGATGCGTATAGTCTATAAAATCCTAAGGTTCGCTAGAATTAAGTGGCCATTTAGCTGTATTAAGCAAATATAAGGCCTAAATCATTAAAAAAAGTATACAGTTCTTTTTCTCTCATTCAAAACATTCATTCTTAGATGCTTATGCCCTATCTTACAAACGCACGTTAAAAGAAAAAAGGGCAAAGCTTAGAATACATTTTCCTTAAAATTAATTTTTGAAATAACCCCGAAGAAATCATATACATTCTCTTTTGTGGGAAGAGATAGAGGGAATTTTTTAAAAGAACCGTCCGAATTTATTTTCTGGATAATGAGATTAATCTCTTAATAATAGAGCCTCTTTAGTAAAGTATATGAACAAGCTTATGTCAGGAGTGTGTGTTCAAATCTCTAAGGGTTTTGCATTAAATTCATGCTCATGAGCATTAACGAAAGCTTCTCCTTTTGTTTCTCAGATATTTCTAGCCACAGAATTTACTCATCTGGAGAGATGATGAATGTCAGAGAAATTAAAGTGGTACAAACTCAGAAACCATTCAAATGGATAATACAAGGACTTTAGATATGAAAATTAGATGGAAAGTGAATTTTTTCTATGCTTATGGGATAAGTCTAATATGCGTACTTATAGAATGTCTTATGCACACAGCAACATGAATGCTCAATTATCTTCTCAAGCCCCAGAAAACTCCAGATGACTTCCAAGCACACGCCACAATCTATGCTAGGATGGGCCCAGAGAGTCTTTGCTTTCGCCTTCTGTGGTGCTTCATAGAAACATTTACTTTGCTAACGGTAGATGACTTACTCTGAGGGTCAACATTTGTGCATGAATCCTGGCAAGGAATAATAAAGGTTTTCTGAAACTACAATTTTTAAAAAACTAATGTAGCTCTGTGAAATGACAGATTAACTTCATCCAAGCGACGTAGGAAACACAAGTGACTGTTTTGCTTAATCCTTTTATGAAGTCACTAATTGGAGAAATAAGTTACTGTACCTCTATATGATGACCTGGAGAGAATGATATGGAAAGAGTTTGGTAGAGTATAGTGGAAAAAGAAAATTATAAAATTGTATGTATATTCTGATCGTGTTTTTGTTAAAATATTATATGTGTTTACATATACATAGAAAAATGGGAACTCACACAAACATATTAATTTTTTCTTCTGGGATAGGTTCTCTCTAGAAGGTCAAATAAAGATAATTTTCTCTTTCTTTCTTCCAATTTTTGTTTTTCTTTATTTATGACAATAAATGTATGTCATTCGAACAGTATGAAAAACGTAAATGTCATTTAAATGATTGAAAGGCTGAAAAATCTAACCAAAGTGAAAAATGATAACTTTTACAAGTTTGCCCTACTTTCGTATGTTTGCTGTGAGTAGCAATTTATGTAATAAAATCTAAAAGTCAAAATTAGATTTTATCAGACTGAGCAGCACTAGGGGCCTCAAGATCTAGATGTACAAATGAAGTGATGGATATACAATTACCTCAACCCTCCAATTACTAAAATGGGCTTTCCTGACACTGCTGTCTTTCCTCAGCTTTGATTCACCAGTATTCTATATCCAGCATTTATTCTTAATAATGTTTTCCCTGACATATTCAGCTAACAAATCAGAGAAATCTTTTCCTCTAATCACCTCTCCAACTAACAATATCTATTCTTTACTCAGTTGCTCTATATTGAAATGTATTTCAATTTAATTTTTCGAAAACAGAATGCTTAAAAATCTGAGTCACCATCATTGAGTGCACTATGAGTACTCGAAGAAAAACAAATACTTACATCAGTCTCTTGCCCGTCGGTGCCTGTATTGTGGATGTCCGGATATTGTTTCAGAAACTGGGCTACATAGGTCATAATAGATTTCTCATCTGGTTTATCCACATCGACATCTGGGAAAACCCAAACCAAATGGGAATAATGAATTAGCATTAATTAGATTTTAAAAATACAAGCTTTGAAATCTAGCTAATATACCAAAAGACACTGTCCTAAATGCAGAAGAAAAATAGAATTAATATTTAGAGATTTTGGCGGGGAGACATATGTAGTCTGGATGATACATGCTGGAAACTTTATGAGTCAGAAAGATGACACCTTTTAACTAAGAGCTCTTAGGAAACTAGTAAATTTCACTTAAATAATCTCAATATTAATTGATCAGAAATCTGAGATACTATACAGTTGTTCAGACATTCTGTTTAGTTAACAAAATACAACTAATATGTACATTTTGGAATTGGGGTGAATGGGTGGTGTTAAAAATGCTTTTAACAGGTGTAGCACTGCATGACAACTGAGTATATAGCTTGTATACTATATATGGCCAAATACAGATAAACCCTGTCCATATGCCCACAAGTTTTGCTTTAGAAAAGAGGGAGACAAATTACGTTCAATTCCTTAGATGGCCTCTCCACTGTCGAGCATTCAAATTACTGTTACCAAGGACTTTGAGGGAGACACAGAGCCTGAAAAGATTTCAATCATTGTCATTTGAACTTTATAGATGCTTACCTAATAAAATTGGTAAAAATCAAAGATATTTATACAAATTTAATAATTACACATGGGGGTAAGACTACAGAAATAAAAAGTGTTGAATGTTGCACAAAAAAAGTCATTTAAATATCCCTTATAACGGCAATGGAATAAAGTGATCACATTTTGGAGATTTCAAATATAAAATATGCACCTACAGAGGACAAAATAAAACAAAACAAACAAAAATCATCAGAATCAAAATATAAAACTGCCCTAATAATTGGCAACATTCCTTGTGATTTGAGATACAGTTTCTAGGGACTATTCACGTAGGATTTAAAAAGAGCTACAACTCAAATGACCTTAAAAGGAAACAAAGATAACGTATTCTGAAATTTAGACAACTCAAAGGTGATTTTAGAAATGACGAGATCACTGATGTGGAAGATGCCTGTGAAGAACAAGTAAAACATTCGTGCAATGTGAAAGTGGAAAGAGCAACATTGAATACATCATTTAACATAGTATATACTTTTAAATATATGTGTAACTAAATCATAAAATAATTGTCATAATAGATATGAGTCTATCTAATCTCTACCCCTAAAAGTTTATACATTCACGTTGGCTAAATAACATTTTAAGAGGGAAATTCTCATAGGAGAATACAGGATCACCTTATATCTGGGATAGCCTTGCATTTGGGCAACCTCTGTTTCTGATCATGAAAGAAAATATTAAGCTCCTCTAGTATAGTAAGCATGAAAGAACCATTTATACCCTCCTCCTTTCTCACTCTTGAAAATATTTCCACTCTGATGCATCCTCTGAGGTTGAGAGTTGGACTATGTGTGTGGCTTTCTCCTTGATCTGAGTAAGTGTATTGCATACTACTAGCTTTTTGTGTGTGCAGAAACAAGCTGGAAAGCCTTGGTTATCCTAGTGAGTCTTGGGGGCCCACAGCAGGTTCCTAAAGTGGCAAGGGGTCTCCATACTGCCCCTCAGAGGAAACCCACCAGGGACCTGAGGGTCTCTGTAACTTACTCCTGGAAACACAAGCGTCTCCACTTAAGACTGTTTTAGAGCTAGAAAAGTTCCCTCTGAGATCTCATCATTAAAAATAACTTGCTTTGCTGTATTTACATTTCTGCATGCATTAACAGAAATTTCCATAATTGCCAAACCAAATAAGAAATTATCCGTGACATTTGGAAAATTCACTTGAACCTTTTAATTTCAATATAACAAACAACTTAGTTTATTAAAGTTTATTAAAGCCATCAAAATTGTCTTGTGAAGGCCTGAAAAAGTTAACTCCATTTCCAGAAAGTCTGAATACTCATAGTCTTACCAAAAAGATGCCAAACAATTAGAACGAAAAATGTTAGTTGATCATTTGCGTAGTTTGCCCAACTGACACCAAAACACTGGATGGTTTTCAACATTTCTAAGTATCTAATGACTGATGTTTTTAAGATATGATCTTAGATTACTAACAATCTCTTATTTCTTCCATATTCTTTGGAGTTATATAAATAGAGTAATTCTTTTATCCTGTGATACCCCCTCCATACAAACACTTCTAAAACTTTTATTCCATCCTTAAGTATATTGAGTAAGTACCGTTCACCTGGCTGATGTCTCCAACGCTGAAGTGTTGTTTGGAGCAACAGAGCTATATTTTGCTCCCAAAAATAGTGGAAAATTTTTTCCCAAAGAAAGTCGGTGCAGGAAGATACTATTACTTCCTGCTTGTCTCAAGTTTTCTGGCATCTAATAGAGTCTCAGATGTCATCTGTAATTTCTGGGTAGAAAACATACAAACCTACTGAGTTGAGACATACAAGAGCTGACAATTACTCAACATACCTTCAGGATCCAGTAGTCTTGGGATCCCCAGTTCTGTTTCAGCAATTGTGAAAGCCTCGTCCAGATTTTCTCGGTTAGATCTCCCTTTCAGTTTCTCCAAATCCACTAATTCTGGTCGAATGGCATGAATGACTGAATGAAAGGCAACCCCACTTCTCCAACTGCGCCCAAAGTCTTTGACTTCGATTCCAGTCTGCCTTAGTGTGATAAAAACATAAAATAACGTCACATTCTGAAGACACGGTCAGCACTTTCCTGAAGGCCTCATGCAAAACCCAGTCCTCTTCAGCAATGAATGATGTGCAGTTAGCTATACTAGTTAACTGGTTTTGAGAAAAATAAAGCAAAACAAAATTTTTAGAGGATAAGATGTAGAAATTTTTGTTCGATATTTAGAGTTTTCCGTATTAGATTTTTCATCTATCAAGATAAACAATTTAAAGCACATTTTCAAAGGAAACCAATTTGGAGAAAAATGTCTGGCAAAATTTAAAAAAGGGAAAATGATAAAAACATCAAAAGTGATGATAATTCATCATTGTATATTTTTTCTTTCTTTCTTTCTTTCTTTTTTTTTCACCAAGGAAGGTTAGCTCTGAGCTAACATCTGTTGCCAATCTTCCTCTCTTTTTCCTTGAGGAAGATTAGCCCTGAGCTTACATCCGTGCCAATCTTCCTGTATTTTACATGCAGGTCACCACAACAGCATGGCTGACGAGTGGTGTAGGTCCGCACCAAGGATTTGAACGGGAGAACCTGGGCCTCTCAAGCAGAGTGCACAAAACTTAACCACTATGCCATGGGGCTGGCCCCTTCATTGCGTATTTTTTGAAGAAGTATCTAACACATTTCTAATGATAATGATCAGCAGTACTGTGTTCTACATGCACAGGTTATAACAGACATAATATATAATAGACATTATCTAAAGTGTCTGAATTATATCAAATGTATTAACAAATGCAAAAGGATGTGATTATATTTCTTAATCAGTCACAAAGGAGCCTATACTCAACTTAAGTCCAGATAATGATTCCAGTTACCCCATGGATCAAATTGTTTCTTAAACTCTTCTTTAGGAATTGCTTTAAGGGCAATGCCCTGGTGGCAAATCTATGGTCTTTGGTGGTGGGTTTGATTAATTCAAAGCCAGTTACAATAATTAAGAAAGTGAGTCAAATTGGTAATAATATTTTGCTATTGAAAATATAAGTGAGGCAAGTTCATGAGTAATCTTTTCTACATGTAACTTATCAACTATAACGGCGGTTCCAAAAAGAGCAGCAAAGACGTCTGGGCAATGGCAGCATCCCTTGATTAAGTCTAGACCCTTTAAAAGTGATCAGTTAACTAGGTAACATTCAGTGGACAAAAGGTTCTGGTCGTTTCTTTTTAAAAAATTAGCCTCGCTACAGTTGTTTCTAAATAAAGAAGAAATAATATCACAATTGTTTTTTCTATATTCTCAAAATTTCCATGAACTGTAAGACATAATATAGCTGACTGATACACTGATTAATGTAAAAAGTTGGTAAATGCCCTTAAATTTTATCTCAGTAAACTGGTCTCATTTTAAATCATGTTGTACCAATATACATTCAGTATGCATAAAATATATTGTCCTAAAGTTAGCATCATTGGATCTAATCACTGGATTCATAAATAAATATTTAAAAAGCAATTTTGTAAGAGTCCAGTATTTTTAAAGTAATCTCGAATCTTCTCATAGTAATTAGTGTTTTTGTCTCTGGTAGCACAGATATAATTTTTTTCAGCCACTGTCTGACATGCTGGCAAATATCCAACCAGGTTGAGCAGTACGTCTTGTTATCCATTCATTTATACAAACATCTCTGGTTTCATCTTACTTTTATACCTATATTTTCTCTTTGCCCATATTTCCTCATCTAGAAATGCTTTTGTATTCACAGTCTCTTAGGCCACGTCAAACTGTTTTTTAACAAAATGAAGTGTGATGCAAATAAATAATTAGCTAATAAATATTCATCACGTAATAATATTTTCTGATTTTCTTGAACTTATCATTTTAGACATTTTTAAAAATAAATATATAAAATGGTTCCCTATATTTACTATGTTGGGATAATTAAAAATGTCTCAGAACATTTTCTTCCTCTAATTTGTTGAACACACACACACACACTCACACACACACATATCTATACTGTTTCACATTAGATCTAAGCAGTACATGATATCCCAAAAAACTTTTAGTTTTAGTCCAAACCTCTCATTTAATAATCTTAGTTACAAAATCAAAGAAAACTTAGATACCTCACTTAAAGAAGCAATACAAACTTAAAGAAAATTAGATAGATCACTTAGAAATGTGATGAAGTATATCCAGTTTATAGGCATTTCTAACCACTAAAATATTTTTACTTCAAGTTATTTTGAATAGATATGAATATAAATATCTTCGTTTGTTTGGTTATTTTACTAATTTTTGTCCTAAAATACAATTGCTCTTCTCAGATATTTGAAAATAGGTATGCAAATGTCAGATACGCTATAACTTAATACTTTCATTTCTGAGAGCATGTAGTGATAGTAGATGAAGCAGGTAAGAAAACAGAAGAGAGAGAGAGGGCTTAACCGTCCTGTGTTACTGAAACAGGTATGAAAACAGTGAATACACTCTCGCAATTTGCCTGGTGTTGACCGGATGTTTTACCCTTTCTCTCCATTTTCAATCTTGTGAGACTGATAAACCCTCATGTGAGGTAAGAAGTTGCTTGAAAAACACATACTGGGATAGTGTAAAAAGCAGCTTTTAGAACAATTATCAACAATTTGGTGGCATAATGGAATCATGCATTCATTACACAATTCTCATGGCAAGGACAGTCCTCTCCGCAAATCGCTACATTTTCTGAAGCTGAAAATAAATGGATCTCATTGACGTTGCTGACAGGTGGAGAATGCTAGGGTCTATGAATCTGGACATTTATACAGAGAAGGAAAATACAATTTCCACTAATGTTACACATGTACAAGTTGCAAGGATGACTTCCAGTTATCATTGAAACACATCTTTGAAACCCAACACACCACGTGTGAAACAAAACCAATGCAGGAAAACTCCAACAGCATTAGATTTGAGTTTATTTCAAGCTACTGTAATATTAAACAAAAACCAATTTGTTTTTGGTTAACTTATTGCAGTGTGGATCAATGGACAAGAGAATATCACATTGACGTTCTTACACAGTTTGATTGCTATGGCATGATGACTTCCTACCCAGTGTGTTTCTTCTCCCTGCCAAGTTAAGCTGCAAAAGAGATTAGTAACGCCCATTGTAGATGGCATGCAAACAGCATACCAGCAACGCAGGAAGGGCTCTTTATTCCATTTCTACTACAGAGTCTAAAGAGCCCCAAAGCTTTGCTTTCAGAAATATTTTTGAGTGCAACTTGAATCACAAAAATAAACACCAAATTAGAAAACCACCAACACACTGTAAAAGTTAAATACAACTATATAAATTAGTAACACTAATTATATCTTGTCTATGTTTATTTTTTCTCTCTTTATTTTTGCTCTTCAAATACTTTAAAAATAGAACTTCCTATGTTTAGCGCCTCAATATTTTATAAGGATAAGTACTTGTTTACAACTATTTTCCAGAAGCAGAGAATAAGATTCAGATTAGATTTAGGCAATGCAAAACAGAAGAGAAAGTGAATTAATGTTACATGTCACTTAAGAAAATCATACAAAAGCACAACTTCTCTGTGAAGAGATCTTACCACTGACCACAAAATATTGATATGATCGATTAAAAACTCTATTGAAGTTGCTATGAGAAGGCACTTTCTGAGGATAGTCATTTTCTATCTAGCATTATCACATAAACGTACACATATGTAAATTTATTATGCCTAGAAGCAAACAAAGCTAGAAGCAAATTCTCAATCCATAAAGCTGAAATTGACAAAGGAATCTGCATTCCGGATAAAAGATGAGACCAAAGGGAAAAAATAGAAAAAGAAAATTGCTAGAAAGTTTCAGGAAATAAAAACAAATAGAATTGTTTCAAAATGTGGACCTTAGTTCACATTGTTATTAAATAGAACTCAATAGTCTCATAAAGAGATAGTCAAATTTAAACCTCTAAATTATTGTGTAAAGATAGCTAATAGGAGCAGAATCTCCAAACAAGGACCCAAATAGAATCAGCCCTCATGCCGTTAATCAAAGTGTAGAAATTAAACAACTTAATTAATCAGGGCCAATCACATGAATGAAAAAGGAATTAGTTTTATTACAGCATCTTCCTGGAGTATTAGTGATGATTTCTGTTTATATTTTAATTCAAGGAAAGAGTGAAACAAGATCTGAAGCAAGGCCATTCATTCAAATGTCTCTTCAGATTTTGCAGTCATTGGCAGGTGCACTCAGTGACAAATTGATAACTCAAATTATCCAAATTTTTTTCAAATGTAAACAAATTCTTGGTACTTACTTGGCTGCTATGTACTGAACCCAGTTTAATAAAGCCTTCTTAGCATTTCCTTGGATCTTGGTGGCCACCTTCCGTTTACTTGGGGGGCTGGCAGTCTCAGAGCTGACCACGCCGTCTACAGAGGATGTACTGCTGGACAAGGACTGGAGCTGCGGCAGGTTGCTGGTCAACTCCTCAATCTGTGTGTGCATTAACAGTCAGCAAAAACCATAAATGAAGGAATAAAATAAGACCTAATGGCTATCCAAACTCATGGAATGCACAACACCAAAAATGAACCCTACTGTAAACTATGGACTCTGAATGACAATGATGTCTGAATATAGGCTTAGCAATTGTAACGAATGTACCACTCTCTTTGGTTATGGGGGTATGGGTATGCATGTATGGGTGCAGGGAGTATATGGGAAATCTCTGCACCTTCTCCTCAATTTTGCTTGTGAACCTAAAACTGCCTAAAAAACCAACCTGATGGCTAGAATAAGTATTCTGGATGGCATGCCAAGTTAATTTTTCCCCATCATGTCTCCTTGGAGCATAGAACTCTCTCTTCCAGAGAACAAAGAAAATTTTCCTGATCTCTTTCTACACCAATATTTCATCTCCATCATGTCCTTCCCACTTTTCAGATTGGGTACCTAACAAGAGTTCCTTGGGGGAATTCCCAGTATAACACCTTTGCAAGGAAGAAGAGGAAATTCTCCTGCTAACGAAAAACAATGTACGTGTGAAGGTCACATTTCTGCCAGCTTGAGAATCAAGCCCAGAGGTATGGCAAATGAGGGCATTATCAAAATGTCCACCCCTACCTCCATCCATGACATTATATCAACTGAAAAGGGAGCTGTGGTACAATACCTGGAAATATAGAATTATGGTCCACATCAATCCGAGAACTATTGAGGGTCGGCCATCAGCTATATCAGTGGAGTTAATGTTGACTAATTTAATCTGTTTAAAAAGAAAAACTGTACTAGTAATGTACTAGAAGATTATAGACCATTTAATTACACAATAATTAGCACTTTATCAGACATCAATAAAATTGGGTCATGCCTGTACAGTGGTACACAAGAATAAGTAGGATGAGCCATAAAAACATACAAGCACATGGTTCAGTGGAAATTTCAGGAGCATTCATTAGGTGCACACAATAAAAAAGAACTATAGTATGAACTCCAAAAACTTGTTTACAGTTGAAAAAATATGACATCATGCAAGGAATTGCCAACAAAACGCCAGACAGAAAAAAAAAGGTTATTCTCTACATTCAGAAGTTCACTCAAACTTAAAAGAAACCGTGGTGAGCAGTTTAAGAAGATGCACTTACTTTGAAGTTTGTTACCAAATAGCATGAAACTTATGTTCTCTTTTACCTATAAAAGTCAGGAGTTAAAAATTCTAAAATTTGTACTAACCGGTGATCCTCTGTACATGGACTGACATGAAAAACAAAGGGAGAAGATGATATACATAGATAATCTCTCAAAATCGGCATCATTTGTTCAAAGGGGATAAAATGTAGGTAGTAAATTTAGAGTGTAATTTGGGGACTACACTTAAGTGACAAACAAAGAAAGCCAAGCTATAGTAAAGCAGAAAGAGACGGTTACGGTTCAGTTTGGGGCACTAACTATAAAGCATTCAGGAAATGTTAATCTGTCTACAATTGTCCCCAATTATTCATTTCAATGCCTTCCTAACTATTGAAAAGTTATTTCCTAAGTCCCAGCAAAATGGATTTGCACGGTAAGCCTCTCTCAGTCAATCTCTACAGATACAATTAACAGCTGCTCATCATCATCCTTTTCACAATCCCTAAGTAGAGAAAAAAAAAATATAATAAAGTACTCCTTAAACTTCTAACTCCAGAATTCTCAGCCAAGATGTCATGAGGTGTGTTGTTAATAATAAAGTTGAGAAGTTCATAAATGGTTTGCTTTAATAAAAAATTATGAGATGTGAAATCATCCCACAAATATTTTACTCTTAAGTAATTAGTTTAAATTTACCAGTTATACATCTGACAGATAGTGTAAGAGCTAGCAAAAAAAAATCATTGTAAATAATTTGAGGTACATCCATGGGATTTTGTCTCACTGGTGATGTTCATTCATCATGTTCAGAGACAGAAAAACAAATTGAGACCCGTTATAGATTGTAAGCTTATGTGTCTACTTCTTTTAAACTTAGCACAGTGTAAGACATAATACACGTTTGGCAAAAATAAAAACATTGAATTTCTTTAAGCTTTTATGATAGAACCTATTGCAATCTTTATAATCATTTTGATTACTCTGTTTAAAAACTTCTTCAGAATTTTCTCCACATCTGTTTTAGTATTCATGAACCATAAATTTATAACATATGCTAATAACCATAAGATTAATGGTGGATTATTTCCCTTGTATATCATTCTCTTTAGAAATGTGGTTAAATATCAGCTGAATTTCCTAACCCAGCTCTAACTCTACCGTGAAGTTAGCATATTCAACTTATTACAGAACCAAGTTTTTTTTTTGCTCGACTTGTGAAGAAAAATATTTTTCATAATTATTTTCTCTCCTAAAAACTGTATGTTCCACCAAGGGTTTATGGAGCACAGCTTTTTTTGTTTGTTTTTTTGACCTCTGCTCCCTTGCAAAATCCTATTAAACTTACAATAAATTCTTAATAACCTCAGAGGGTGGAATGGGCAATAGAGAGACATCCAAAGAGAGTGAAGAATTTCCAGAGGCCAGAAAGAGGAGGAGATCATACAGATGGATAAAACCAGAGCAGAAGGATGTTGGACCAGTGGTTCTCAAAGGCTGATCCTCAGGGCAGCAAAAACACACTACCCGAAAACTTGTTAAGAATGCGGAACCTGGGACCTCCCCTCGGACCGGCTGAACCAGAAAGTAAGGGAGGGCAGCCCAGAGAGGCTGTTCTAACATCACCTCCAGGCGAGTCTGATGCACGTGAATGTTCGCCAACCCTGCATTAGACAACTGTAACCTGGGGGAGTTTGCCCTTGCAAGCCAGTGGCCTGTACGGACTGAACTGTGTGTCCCCAAAATTTACGTTTTGAAGTCCTAACTGCCAATATGACCCACAATTGGAGAGAAGGCCTTGAAGGAGGCAATTAAAGTTAAATGAGGTCCTAAGGGTGGGCCCCTAATCCAATAGGACTGGTGACCTTCTAAGAAGAGGAAGAGATACAGAGTTCTGTCTCTCTTCCATACGCACACGGAGGACACAGTGAGGAAGGAGCTGTCTGCCAGCCAGGAAGAGAGGAAGAGCCCAGCCCTGCTGGTACCTCGATCTGGGGCTTCCAGCCTTTAGAACGGTGAGAAAGGAAATTTCTGGTGTTTAAGCCACACAGTTTCTGGCATTCTTTTATGACAGTCATGGCAGGCTAATACAAGGCCCACAGATATTTCAAAAAAATATTCGAATTATTTGGGAATAAATTTGGAAAAAATTTCAATTTAAAAATCCAGATTACTCTAACCCACTTCATCTTTTAGCTCACCTTTCTGGATCTCATAGGAATTTACATTTATGTCCCTTCTCTGCACTAAGGCAAGTTTTAGGAAACGTGGTCAGTGGTCGGCTCCCTGTATTATTATTTAGAATGACCCACCTGACACCTTATCAGAGAAAGAAACTTGTGGCAAGTGATGGATCTGTTCATTAGAGTGACATTCACACAATTCTTATCAGATACTAATGTCTGCTTTTTTGAAGAGCCCTGTAAACAAGTGGAAAGATAACACAATGGTACGGTTTTCTCCAGCAAAACTTGGAGTATTTATTAATTCCTTAAATCAAGCTAAATAAGAATCCAAGGGCTAAATAAACTTTCTGTTATCTAAAGAAAAAAATCCAAACGCAGGACAAAGTAAGTACAAAGATCAAAGGCAGATTTTGAAAACAAGATTGAGACATAAATTCTTAACTCGTAAAGGAGAAAACTAAATAGTAAGAGAGAGGGCACCAAAGAGCCCTCAAAAACTTATTCCTCCCCACAGTCAATCATTCTTGAGCCTATGGCATAAAGAAATGCAAGAAAGAGTAGCTCCAAACTGTCTGTTTCAGGAAGATTTTCTTTTTTAATTAAAAGAGATTAGGGATCTGTGGGGATCGAAGGGAACTGCTTTGCATTTTTTCTGAGATTCAAATGCATTACTTTCTGCCCTTAGTAAATATAATATTTAAAATCAGAATTCTCTACTTTTTTTTTTTATTACTTAGGGTTGTTCTGTGAAAATGGACCTTGTACAAACAAGTCTTCTGTGAAAAGAAGACTCTGGCCCTCGTTACAAACAATGCCTTTCATAGATTGTCATTAAATTTTTCTCCAAAACTTATTAATTAATAAAAGGAATTTTGTTTTTATATTCTAGCTAATGAGTATAGCTCAGTATAAAGTAGGATACTTCTGTTAGATCACTGAAATGGAGGCTGAATGACTTGAAAAACTCTAAATATCCTGTTCAAACTGTTCAACAAGGCTTTATTCAGCTTTTTATGAAAAACTCATGGAGGGAAAGCTGGAAGAAGAGAAACACTCCATTAAGAATGATATTAGAGTGATCTGGAAACAATGTCCAACATTTTATAAGAAGCTGATTATTTTCCTATACCATCTTAATACTTAGAATCTCTCTTTGACGTAAAGTTGGCACAATTGACTGAATTTTACACTGATTCATTGTACTACCAACTAATCAAAATATAAATTATTTAAGGGCCTGAATTTAAGTTGTCTTTAATTTTGTATTTTCCAGAGTTCCCATTTTATAGAAATGCATTTGTGCCATAAATCAATTATTTTAGTCCATATAGATTGAGATGGAAATAAAAGAATCATTCTATTTTTCCAGAAGTACCTGGATATCCATTTATAAAGCTCGTTTTTGTACTGCCAAACACAGACTTCCTGAATTCTCACATGTTCGAAAAGGCTAAATCTAACAGGATTGGTGCAACCATTTTGGAGGAAAACATGGCAATACCTAATAAAACTACACACACACACTTACCTTTTGACCCAGCAATCATACTTCTAGGAATTTACCAAGAAGATGCACTCCCAATAACATGAAAGTACTTATGCACAGTTATTAATGGTATCATTGTTTCTTTTTGAAAAATATTAAAAACAACCTAAATGCTCATTCATAAGAGTGTAGTTGAATAAACTCTGGCATGGCCAGATAATGGAATATTATGCAACTGTAAAAATGAAGGAGGAAAATCTCTATAAACTGATTTGGGTGACTCCAGGATAAACCATTAATTCAAAAAAGCAAAGTGTGAGTATATCTATAGTATGCTACTCCTTATGTAAGAAAGAAGGTGGTATATGAAAATACACTTTTTCATTTGTGCAAAAGAAATACAGAAAGAATACATCAGAAACTAGAGAGCTTGGTTAACTAGAGGTGGGAAAGGAAGTGAAGGAAAGGAGAATGAGAATGGAGTAGTAAGGATGAGAAAGGAGTAGAACTTCTCTAATTTTTACTCTTAGAACTGTAGTGGTGTCTCATTTCCCAAAATAAAAAATAATAATTAAAATCAACTAGGATGCATGAATGGGGTTATCCAAAATGGAGAATGGGGAGAAAGGGCAATAACAAATGAACCTGACTCTGTTAGAATATGAATAACACAATCACCCTGAAGGGGATGGAAAGAACAGAAGCAACCTAAGTAAATTTGGAAAAGTCTTTTGACTAGATATCGTAACGCTAAAGACCAAAAGAACTGTACACACACGTGGTTCTCCAATTAGTACGTCTACTTCTCAGAGGGTTGTGGTGAGCAATTCTGAGACTATTTTATATGTATACGAGGGTTGAAAAAATAAGTGAATATATTGTAGATGAGAACCAGATTTCTCATTGTCAGAGAAAGTAGAAGCAAATAAGCATGGAAGGTAGAGTGAACCTTGAGGTGTTTGGTTGCAGTTAGGAGTGTCAGACTGAACCAGTGGTTTATACATACACGCATAGGAGAAGCTATGTATATACACATGTGCATACATTGCAGTCATATTGCATGTCTATGCTGTATGGACTATATGAAGTGGTTTTACCCCACAGACAACATTGAAAACACACACACACAAGGAAAGAAGAGAGAGAGAGACATAGATACGTGTGTGTACCTGGGTCAGTAAATATACATATTTTCTAACTCTGTCTAGTGAGAGGGCCTAGGGGCAATGAAACTTCAATGGCAATGAGCACACCTAGTACCCAGATCTTGGTTTCTAAGTACCAGTCACTCACATAAGGAACAAAGCCTCCTTAGAGAAGTGATTGATTCCAGTTTTGGGCAGGAAAAATATAAGATAAACCTGGAAAATCTATAGTTCCAGAAAATAAGGAAATGCTTCAAAAGGTTGGGGCCATGTTAAAAAAGTGCAAGAACCGGCCTGAAGGAGTTCTTAATGACCAAAGCTGGAACAATGTGAGCAAGAAAATAATAATAATAGTGTTGGATGATAACTATAGAATAAAATAAATATGCATGACTCCATGCTGAAATAAGTAATTCAATAATTAAATAAATGAGGGGGGAGGGACATCTTTTTCTTACAGAATTATTCCAATTAATACATGTAGAAGGAATGAGGGAAACAAAAAATCATCATTAGCAAACAGCACAGAAGGAATTACTGGAGGCAACAGATGCCAAAAGCAGAGAGCAACAGTTTGAGAAGAAGCAGAATATTAGCATAATCTCAACTGTCTCCCCTAAGTTGTTTCTCAATTATAAAGAGAAAAATAGTAATTTTCCCATTAAAAAAAACATGGCAGACAACTTTATCAAGTGATCGAGGTTAACATCACCTGCAATAAGACATATCAGAATCCTGTATCCACTAATACGATGCACTGAGAATAGATCACCTCCTTGGAATTCTCGCCAAAAATGTACAACCTCAATCTGGTCATGAGGAAACATCATTCAAACCCAAATTGAGAGACATTCTGCAAAATAACTGACCAGTAGTTATTGAGGTCATGAAAGACAAGGAAAGACAAAGTCATAGGATGGAAAAGACAAAGAAGCCACAACAATTAAACGCAAGATATGTTATTGGACAGGACCCTGGAACAGAATTAAGACATTGGAGGAAAACTGATGAAGTGTGACTAACATCTTGGCTTTAGTTAATAGTATCATACCAATTTTAACATCCTTATTTTGATAATTGTACTATGCATACATACATGTACTGTGTGTCTAAGTTCTGCACATTGAGAAAGCTGGGTGAAGTGTAGACTGAAATCTCTACCCTTTTTTACCACTTTTCTGTAAATCTAAAATTATTTAACAATAATATTGCATGTCTATGCTGTATGGACTATATGCAGTGGTTTCACCCCACAGACAACATTGAAAACGTCAGTATGCCCACACCTTCGTCTGTAAGTGTTTTGTTTTTGTTTTTCTCTTACCTTCCTTCCTTCAAGGAACTTGAGCGCCGTGCCAATGTTAGCCACAGCATGGATCCGCTTCATTCGGCGTCCTTGTTCGCAAGGCTGTAAAAGGGGGAAAAATAGGAACAAATCAAAATGCACACATTAAAAAAATAGTTGTTGAGGCTGCCCTGGTGGTATAGTGGTTGGGTTCACGCACTCTGCTTTGGTAGCCAGGGTTTCACTGGTTCGGATCCTGGGTGCTGCCCTACACACTTGCTCATCAAGCTGTGCCATGGCGGCATCCTACAAAAAACATGGAGGAAGACTGGCACAGATGTTAACTCAAGGATAATCTTCCTCAAGCAAAAAGAGGAAGATTGGCAAAAGATGTTGGCTCAAGGCCAATCTCCCTCAACACCTGGCCCCCCACCAAAAGAACAGTTGTTCATGAACGGACTTGGAGGGTATTACGCTAAGCAAAATAAGCCAAACAGAGGAAGATAAACACCACATGATTTCACTCATATGTGGAGGATAAACAAACACATAGATAAGGAGAACAGATTAGTAGTTACCAGAGGGGAAGGGGGTGCAGGGAGCACGAAAGGGGTAAAGAAGCACATAAGCGTGGTGACCTATAAAAATTAGGTTTTTTACACAATGTTATAAGCCAATATGACCTCAATAAAATAATTTTAAAAATAGTTACTAAAGGGGCCGGCCCCGTGGCCCGTGGTTAGGTTCACGTGCTTTGCTTTGGTGGCCCAGGGTTTTGACGGTTCAGATCCTGGGAGTGGACATGGCACTGCTCAACAAGCCATGCTGAGGCGGTATCCCACATGCCACAACTAGAAGGACCCACAACTAAAAATGCACAACTATGTACTGGGGGGCTTTGGGGAGAAAAAAGAAAATCTTAAAAAAAAAGTTATTAAATCTATTTAAATGGATTAAAAATATGCTTGAAGAATATTCAAGAACAACCAACTCTACTCATTTCCATAAAGGTTAGCAGATATATAAAGGAGCATTAGCCCCACCGCACTTGAAGGTGTACCCATTTACTAAGTAAAGATATTCATTCTCAGTTCCTCTGTTAGTGCATTTGCCTCTCACGTTTCCATGAGCCTAAGAGCAGAAATTCACAAAATCCCTGTGTTGTCTATTGAGACTGTCAGTCCTGTAAATTAGGAAATATTTATATGAAAAGTGCTCTTGGTGCATGTGCGGGAACAGGGGATATATGGGAAATCTCTGTGCTTTCTCTCAATTTTGTTGTAAACCTAAAAACTGCTCTAAAAAAATAAATAAAGTAAAAAAAATCTTACACTTGGTGACTCGCCATTTTTTTAGTCATACTAACAAGAAAAGTTACTGACAGTATTAGTAACATTTCTCCATTTGAATGACCAAACTACATGAAGTATATAAGGCAGGCTTTCAAAGTAGGATTGTGAGAATGAAAATGTTATTCACACAATAGCATGTTTTGGTACATAGACACTCTAGTTACAGGTGTTTGAGTCATCAAAATTTATTGTGTGCTTTCTATGTGCCACGCTGCCAATTTTAAGACAAAATTATTTTAATGAAGTTGATATCATTAGCCTCCTTTACATTTAGAGGAACCAAGAGGATAACTGAGGTGAAGCAATTTCTCCGTGGTTGTACCGCCAGTAAACTGGCCTCTTCATGACGCCAGAACTCTTAAGTAACCTTCCATTAAAGCTCAAAACCAAGTATTTTTTCATTTCCAATTAATAGTGTACCAGGTAATAATTTTTATGATATGACTTCAAGAAAATATTTAAATAGAAAATACACTTTTAAAATTTTTAATGTTTATTCTTTACTTAAGAACTGCTGTTACAGATGGTATAGTCTCATCATTGGTCCATGCACGGGCCACTTATTTAGTTATTTAACTCATTATCTTTTGCAATGTAAAAAGCACATACGAACCTGCCAACTAAAGCAAAGCCAGGGCTTGGAAATTAGGTACAAAAGCCGTACCCCTCCCCACCACCACCATTTCTTCCATCCTCCCGCATTCCTACACTTAGGGCAACCATCACACTAAGTCCAGCCCAATGCTTTCCTTTTTAAACAGATTCATTTCATTTATATGCATTCTTAGAGAGAAAATTTATTTTAGTTTTCACTTTATATAAAGAGTATCACTGTATTAATCTTTGAGACTTACTTTTCCACATAAAATTATATTGCAAAGATTCACCTGTATTATTGCCTGTCACTATATTTCATTTATTTTGACAACTATGTAATGTGCCACTTATCTACTTTCCTTCTGATGTGAATCTGAGGTATTTCTAGATTATTTCTGTTGTCACCTCTGCTGATCGAGCATTCTTGTACATCTACCTTTGGTACAAGTACAAGTTTCTCTTGGATGTATACCTAAGAGTGGATTGGTTGGGTCAGAGGGAACATGACTTTTGAACTTCCAAAGTAATGCCAAGCTTTTCTAAAGTGTTTGCACTACTTTTTGTTCTTATCAGCAATACAAGAATAATCCTATAGATACAGATTCTGTCCAAGAGGATCTTAAATATTAAAAAATATTTTAAACATATTAAAATTCTTTCTTTCTATTGAATGTTAGTGACATGGTCTTTCATTGCGGTCTTCAATTCCATTTCCCTGATGAACAATGATGTGAACATCGCTTCCTTTGTTCTTTGACGTCTGTTTCTTTTGTAAAATGCCTCTCACATCTCTCTGCCCAGGTTTTCCTTTTGGTTGTCTGTACTCATTGTTTTGAAGATGTACTTATATATTTTTGATAGAATCCTTTCACAACATGTATTGTGAATAACTTTGACTAACTTTTGACTTCCTTTGTCACTTTCTCTAAGGTTTTTTGATTCAAAAATAGTCTTAATTTTAATATAGTCAAATGTAGCAATCTTTGATAGTCAATATTTTTTGTCGTATTATTTTTCCCTATCCTGATGTCTCAGAGATATTTATCTATATTTTCTGCTAAGAGTTTAAAGTGTTTTTGCCATTCGGTCCTTAGCCCACATCCACTTGATTTTTGTATAGGCCATGAGATCGGAATCCAACTTTACCTTTTTCTATTAGGATAAACTTTTTTCCTGTTGCATTTATTGAACCATCTCTCCTTTCCTCCTCAGATATGACATCCACCTCTGACATATACTAAAGCGCCATTCATGCCTCTGTCTGTTTCTGGACCCTATTGCATTAGTCAATATGCCCATCGTGTACCAATACCACACTGTCTTACCCGACATGGCTTCAGTGTAAGACCTGATATTTAATAGGGCAAATACTTTCTCTCCGCTTTTCTTCTTTGGATGTATCCTGGCTGGGAGAGCAAGGTATAAATATCTATTATACTGCCCCATCTCATATTTGCATCTATTTTTATACAATGTAACCTGTCCTAACTAATACATTGATCCTCCCTACTGGGCTACAAGTCTGTGAGGGCACCAACCATATTCATCTTTGTTTTCCTTAGAGAGCAGAAGGTAGTGCCTATCCATAAACAGAGCCTGCAGAAATGTTAGCTGAATGGACAATCAGTAGATAATGCCAAACCCACTTGCAGACTTGAGCTCTACTCTAAATATATGATTGGTGACTCACAAAGCCACCTGGTGAAGATGCAGGGGCCTTTGATGCTCCAGATTTCCTGAGAGTGCCCGTCGTTCACCTTTAAGCGCATTGTTAGGCTTCTCTTGAATGCAAAGTGTTAAGGGATCTTTTAAAATACTGTATAGAAAGTAAACAGCATAAATAAGAAATAAATTTCTCTGCAGTCCTTAAGCTCTATTCATATCACTTATATTATTTCTAATGTTTCAATGGCAATTCGTTACTTTCTTAAAAAAATCCTAAGTGTAAAATTAAACTTAGTGTTCCTATGTCAGTGTGCAATTAAAGATATATGATCAGTGATCCATTTAAAGAGGAAATATTCCACAAATAATAATCAAGGAACATAGAGAAATCCAAGAATAATAATTAAAAAAAATAAAATTGCTAAGACTTTAAATAAAATCATAGACAAGAGAGTCACAATAGTTTGTTAAAGGGACTAAGATATTGAGATTCCACGCTTACCCTGAGATGCTGATGGTAAAGGGGACACCATGCCATTTGGCCCCACTTCCCAAATGAACATGGTCAGAGCTAGAGTCCTGGGCTACATGAACAGTGATGTTAAATATAGTGTTCTTAATAGAGTTCTACCTATGAGACAATTACAGAATCCCTGAACAGCGTTAATGCTCCTGAGGGAAATGTTCTTGCCCACATTCTCCCTTTGAAAGCTCTAGAAGAATGCCTAGGATATTCATTCCTTCAAATGATGCTTTTCATCTTAATGTGGTCCTGAACCATAATGTATACATGCACAAAATTTAAATACTCATTGCCAAAGTTTATTTATAATTTCAGAGTAATTTCTTTTTGTGTAATTCAGAATCTTGAAGTGCTTCGGTATAAATAAATAATAAAGGTTAAGTTGGAAACTCTCCTTCAATGTCTCAGTTTTCTTTGTTAAATGAGAATGTTGAGATTCTTTCTGAAATTACTTCTAGCCTCAAGGTCCTATAATTTTATGTGTGAATGAGTAGGGAACTTACACAAATGTAGGATTCTTATGTTAAAATATACACTTTTTCTAGAATCATTTAGCTTGGTAGTTAAATGTCCATCACACTTTCTGTGTACTGTTGGCCAAGTACAATGATAGAATTATATTGACATATAGAACGATATACTTCTTAAATATCCATTTGAATTGTAATAAAGGTTCCTTCGACCTTCAAGTAAATAGCTTAATTGAGGAGGATCTATAAAGATGGCCAGTTACATCAGGCAATCAAGGGAGTATATATTTCAATTTGGTGACTCACACATCTTAATGCTAATCCAGTTTATTTAGCTCATGCATATGTCTGTATATTCCAAATTGGCTTTTCATAAGCGTCTTGCTTGATTTCCCCCAAAGCAGAGCCTGAGACAAGGACTTGGATGCCTGTAATTTATTGAGAAAGTGATCCCAGATATCAAGAGTGAGGATGCACGGATAGTGAGACAGGGAAACAGGAAAAGCCAATAAAGGCTGTGCTATGGAGGGTTTCCACTGAGGTGACTGAGGCGAGGCTCAGTGATGCTGGGGATCCTATGGGGCACTCACTCTATGAGATATATGTAAGATATGCCTCAGAATCGCCCCTCCTACAAATGCCAGGGTGGAGCATTTATTCACCGACTCCCATCTCCATTGTTTGAAGGTCCTTTGGGACCATTAGCTCTCTCACACATCAAGGATGCTTGTGCAACTTGCGGCTTTGATAAATGCCCTGAGTTTGGAAACCTGGAGACATACTACAGGGCTTGAGATGAGATGCTGATAGAGTTTATGGGTTACGTCCACCACTGCGGTGGCTGAAATCAGAGGTGAGCTGATATGGCACATGGGGCACTGAAAGCATCTGCTACATCAAGAATCAGATTAGATGAATGATTTACACAAAATTATTATCAGTCTGTATTTTCCAACAAACAACCCTTTTACAAAAGCTTTTTTGAGGACTCTCAAAATGGGGACTTTCCAAAATTAACTGGAAATTTATGTTCAGGTAAAAACACTTTTTTAAAAACTCAATTATCCAAGTAATAACGATTGTGTAGCTCTTGTCAAGACGCAATAGACAAAGAAAAAATAAATACTCCCAATTCTGGACCCTGTGTCTAGCGTGTTATAGAACATTTTGAAGATTTTTTCCTGAGTCCTTTTTTCTAATTATGGTAAACATCATTTATAAATAGTTTATGTTTGCAAACTACTTACTTCTCTACTATTCTGAAATGAAAAAACATAACACAGAAAAAAATAAATATTTTATACTTATATAACGTAGAAAAAGTTATTTTTTAGCTCACTGTCAATGTTGTTTTTCATTCTGCTGGTTCTGTTGCACATACAAAAATGATTCTGCATGTGCTGTTCCTGTTACAAATGACTGATGACAGAGGATGTCCGTAAGCATACGAAAAATGCCACGCTGATTTCAAGCTTGATTTTCAACAAACAACTATATAAATACACGCTTATGGACCAAAAATTCTTTCCAAATGGAAAGCTAACATTTAGAGTGAGGTAGATATTACTGTGCGACTGATCTTCCTTGACAGCACACAAATGGGGTAGTTAACCATGATAGATTACTGATGAAGTTCTTTATGTTTACTTCTAAGGTTGCTACTACTATAAATAATGTTTTAAATCTACTACAGGTGTGCAAGAACAAGAGAGAACCTTTATTTCTTTCTCTCAGAAGTGACTGATAGACTAGTGTTTCCCGTGTATTACAGACCATAATATGGATAGCACACCTTACACTCCCAACTCTACATCCCCTAATTCCTAATAGGAACAATTGGACAAGTCTGGTCACAGGAAGCATCCTTACCAGTTTCTGCCCCGACAGGACTTCCAGAAGAGCAAGCAGCTTAACACCATCTTTCATGTCTTCAAAAAGATCATCTACCACCATTGGGGGTTTCCGCTATAAAATAAAAAATGAATAAATGCAAAAAATGCTTCTCTCTCTGTCATACCTTTACTACCCATTGTGGTGAAATTTGTAAGAGAAATTTCTAAATACCGAAATTCTATTTTAGATATGATTGGCAATTGCCTTTTGATAGCTATGAGGAGAAAACCAATCCTTTGGAGATAAACTCAACATTCAAAAAGCTCAGGAGATTTAATGCTTGGGCTTTCATATACATACCAGCTTCTTTCTAGAAAGGGAGTTTTGACGAGGGTGGGATGGTAAGGGATAAGGGAAGGAAGAGAGGGTACTATCAACACAAAAGATGAGAGAGACATTAAAGCAGGACCTACAAGGGGAACAGGAGGTACCCCAGATAAACTGGACCGACTTCCCAACTTCACCTGAGCGAGCGCAGTACTGGGGCTTAACCAGGTGCCACACTTCCATAGGACACTCTCCAAGGTAACCTCCTTAGCTCAGTGAACTGCTGTGGGAGCACTGTTAGCACAGCCAAGGTGGTAGATGTAAACTCCTGTGGGTTAGCTGGCTATGCTCTATTTCACAGCCTGAAAATCTAGCAACGCTTCTCTCACAGTGTGGCATTGACCCCAAAGGATCATAAGCTCAAGAGTACAGACCGATCATTGTGAAGCCATCACCACTACTGGAGCCCATTTTCAATTCATGGGGGGGTCTTTCATTTTTTTTTATGAAGGCCATTCAAATACTCAATATACTGGGGTTCATCAAACCTTGAATTAAGGTCTATCTTGTCTCAGAACAAAGTAAAGAAGTGATTATGCCATTGGTGATGGTCAATGGAGGGTATGGTCCTTGGATTTCTCACACACAAATTTTTTTTCCATTTACCACCTGAGTTCAAGCTCTATAGTGTTCTAATTCTCACTGAATCATGTTAAAGGCCTAATGCTGAATTCTTGACTTTCAACTGTCTTTCTTTAAAAAAATAATAGTTCTAGGTAGAGATATTTAATCACCAAATGTTTTATTGAAATGTGACATTTTTCTCTACCCACTGATACTGGAGCATTTATATTTCTCTTCTGACTGCATGCATTACAGTGTCTCAATGGTACAATTCTAATTTTAAATGCATTTTTCTCTTTTTATAAAATGAACAACTGAATTCATTTTGTTCTCATGCTGTGAAATACATACTTGAAAATAACAGAGTTTTCATTTTCAGCCATTGTCTTTTCGATTCCACTATTCACATTACTTATTATTTACATAGGAAAAACATAATAGTGACTTTATATTTTAAGCATATAAATAAAATTATTCAGGAAAAAAGGAGCCCTTACAAGGAAAACTATTCAGTGTGATAGCAATAAAAATTACTGTATTAGTCACATATTGTCATTAAAAATATAGTCCACTTAGCATTCAAAGTGTCTGTTTGTATCCAAATAATTTAAATACAGTAGAGGGAAAAGTTCAGAAATATGTGATATATTCAGTGAACAAATACAAATGAAGTTTTTCACATACTGTGTTAATCTGAAAAATATATGAAGAAAAATAAACAAAGTAGGGAATTTTCATGAAATAATAAAGATTCCAAGAAATTTGACATTCAAAAAAATGATCAAATTCATCTATCTGTCCATTCTGCCTTTAAACGTATATGGATCTCTGCCATTTTCTCTTGACCCCATTTCTACCTCTAATATTTCTCTTCTTGCATCTCTCCTAGAGCCCCACATGCTTTCTTTCCCCTCCAGAAGCTCCTGTACAATGCTCCTGGAAGTGGCCTTCAGATTAGCAGTGACCACCGAACAATTCAGTAGCCCACTGGCTTCTGCATTGGGCACTAATGGTGCCATCCTTTCCTTGATCTGTTTCCCCCAAACCTCTTTGATCAGCCTGTCTGGTTCACGGGCCTCTCTTCCTTCTCTCTCTCCTTTCTTCCTGTGTTTGGCCATTCACCAAACTCACCCCTGAGTCCTCTGTTCTTTACAAAATTTTGTCTGCATAGACATGACTTTTGAATCCTTCCTTCCAGGTAAGTGTTCTCTCCTAAATATTTCTGAGGACACGGCAAGACCTCAATATATATTGTTGGCTGACTGACTCACTGACCGAATGAATGAATAAATGTAGCTTTCTAAAAAAAATTATCTTTGCAAGCCCTGTGCCCATATTAATGGCTCTTAAAGTCTGGCACATTCATAATAACAGGCAAAGAAAATGTTCTCTGGGTTCCAAGCAATCACAGATTGCAACACACATGGATCTAGAAATATCTTGTTTCTGAATGTCTTGTTCACAGTAGAAACTCATTAAACATTTGTTGAAGAAATGAAAGAAGATTCTAGTTTGTGCTTGGAAAAGAAGAGTAGATGGTTTTTATTTCAAGAACACAGATACCCAGATTACCTTCACTTTCCTCTATTTCCACTTAGCAAATTCTTGGTCAGTTTTCATGACTCAGCTCATCTGTAATCTGTTTCAGTTTTCCAACTAGAATTAATCAGTTCTTCTGTCCCTCTAAGTACATTGTTCAGATTATAATGATCACATCGCATTACAGTCATTTACTTACAAATCTGTATCCCCAGGAACTCAGATCACGGGGTATCTTGAGTACAAGAAAGAAGTTGAATATATCTTTATATACTTAACACCAGGCACAGTGCTCAGCACCAGTTGGCAATAAACATATAGACAGTGATGGAAACACATTCAACAGGGATATTTACAAATACCTTTGGAATCTTAGGGAGATCCTCACAAATAAGATCATAAGGCAAAAATTTCTCTTTTTATAGGAAATATGAGTTGCTTCTGAAAATTTTCCCACCAGTGTCTTCCTACACAAAGTAAAGTGATATAATCTGATAGCTATAGAAATTAAAAGAAATAGAAATTGTAAGAAAATATTTCTTTTCAAAATAAAAATGTTTATGTCAATTTACTGTCTAATATACTGTCTAATATTTTGAACACCTTGAATTATAGAACCTGGCATTATGTCACCAATTCTTTATTTAATACTGCGACCAGTTAAAGAGGGAGAAAATACACCTTTTGCCAACCTTACTGCAAAGAGCTGACAAAAACAAGTACTGGAGAATGATCTTTATATTTCTATAAGAGCTATCCAATTGCACATAATATAAATATTGCGTGAAACCAGCAAGACACCTTAATTTATCAAAAATTACACTAGAATAAAACAGTCCTTGTAATTGTAGGACGAGTTTTGCTATCCCATTTTGCATAAAATATTGTTTATAAATATCAGCTAGAGAGACTTTTTCTCTTGTGACTGCATCACAGTTATCTTTCTGAGCAACGTTTTAATAGAAAACCTTTCGGCTGAAATACCTCTCCTGTCACATATAAAAATACATACAGCACTAATCTGATTACTTTGGTAGAATTCAGGCCATGGTGCTGGAGGCAGAAAGGAAGAGTTAGAAATGAGGGTCATTTATCGGAGCCCGACTTCATGGAAAATAAAGATAATGTGGTTTTGTTTCTATTGCTTGCCAATTTGCAGTTTCAAGCAGTAGATAGAAATCTATCGGGTACTTTTCAAGATCACAATTATCTTTTTTTTATTAAGGTAAAATTATGATAACCTCTTTTTCTTTGTACAGTATTTGGAAAAATTATATTCTCCTTGGCTCTGTCAGTCGCATTTAGTTATTCTGCAGATATTCAGGCTGAATCTGAGGTGGTTCAAAGAAGGGAATTTCCTGCCTGGGTGAGGGGAAATGGAGATGGGGATAGGAAAGAACAAAAGAGAAAGACGTATTTCACTACATGGCTACTCCCTTCCAGAAGCTTTCTTCAAACTAGGTTAAACCGTAAGTTCTGGCTCAAGGAGGATTGCCTGGTCTCTAAAATTGTCTAGAAACCCAAGGAAAACGCACATGCCTCTGGACCTGGCTATCCGCTTGGTGTTAACTCATGAGTGGAACAGACTTCACAGAGGATTTTTCTCTATTTTTTTCTCCTCTCCCTTTATTTCTGCTACACAGTCCCTTCAATCAGATGCAATGAGATTCATTCCCTCTCTCTTTAGGACTTCAAGGAGGTCAAATGTTTCTCCTTGAACTTTTTGAAATCCGAGGAAGCACAGGTATCTTTGACATAATTTTTACTGACCATTTCCTGTATTTTGGGAAAGTAATCTATTCTCTAACGTGTATGTGTATGTAATTAACTTGTGTCACTTTACTAGTCTAAAAACACCGGTACATATTTAACTCTTATCTACCATCTATTTTCATAGTTACTTTCATGCAAGGATGGCCATGTTTGTTACACCACATGTTAATCTTATGTCCCTAGAAACAATTACATTACTTAGAGGAAAAGAATTAGGAGAATAACTTTGATGAAAAAAGATATAAGGGGGCCAGCCTTGTGGCCTAGTGGTTAAGTTCGGCATGTTCCTCTTCAGCAGCCAGGGTTTGATTCCCAGGCATGGACCAATACCACTCATCAGTGGCCATGTTGAGGCAGTGACCCACATACAAAATGGAGGAAGACTGGTGGAGATGTTAGCTCAGGGTGAATCTTCACAAAAAGAGGAACATTTGCAACAGATGTTAGCTCAGGGCAAATCATCCTCAGGAAAAAAAAAAATCAGGCATAACTATTTGGCATGAAGTGAAAATTTAAGGAAATCTCACATTTAAAAATTATATATGAAATGAAAAATATTGGTGCATAAAGCAAATATGACAAAATAGTCACTGGCATAAACTATAGAAATGAATTCCAATATTTACTAGGTGTTTCTGTGGCTTAGGTATTTATGCATCCTAACTTAGTAGATGTCTTAATAGGGATGAAGGAGGAAGGAAGGAAGGAGAATAGAAAGGCGAGGAAAGAATGAATAATATATTGTAGAACATCTCAATGGGTCAAGCACTATGCTGAGGGTTTATACATGTTACCTCGTTTAATATTTGTACCCACCACCTATGGGAGGAGCACCCCTTCTTGAAAAGCAAAGAATCCAAATCTCAGAG